GGGGGGTAATATTGAGGATATTTGGGGGGCGTGAACATCAGCTGAAATGCCAAACTTGTTGTTACATGAGACGCTGCAAGTCACGATGTTGGTTGACATAAATATGACGGCATTCAGGGAGGTCGTATCACAAGAGTTCTCTTATCCGTCGTTGTGTCATGCTTTTTATGGTCCCGGTCTCAACAACTGACACGACCCTCTCTTTTCTGCTCGCAGAGACGTCCACCGTCAACCCTTACGCGCCCTTCATCATGAACGGCCAGCTCACGCCGCAGCTTCCCATCTTCGAGCTGTCCGCCTTCCGCAAGAACATCCCCATGCCGCCCATGGACGACGCGCAGGCGGCCCAGGCAACGCAGGTGCAGCCGTCGGGGCTGGCGGCCACGGCGGGCGCCATGCTGGACCTGAGCCAGCTGCTGTCGCCTGTGTCGTACCTGCACATGTCGCCCAACCCGGGCGGCGCAAGCGGGCCGGCGGGCGGCGTGCGCATCCCGCTGCTCACGCACCCGCGGCCCGGCCTGGACCTGGACCCCCAGCAGCACTACCTCTTCAAGCGCGACGACAACAACAAGGAGCCAACCAAGGACGCGGCCGAGGACGACGACGAGCGCGAGAAGAAGCAGGGCAAGCGGGACACGGCGGCCGCGGTGGACGCGGCGGAGACGGACGCCGCCGAGGCCGAGGAGAAGCAGGAGAAGGTCGCCGCCAAGGTCAAGCGGTCTGCTGACAACAAGCCCGACGCGGAGGAGAAGGCCGCGGAGGAGGCCATGGCGCAGGCAGCCGAAGTCGAGCCCCAGCGCCTCGCCGGCAAGGTCAGCAAGCGCGAGAGCAAGCGCGCCAAGGTCAGCCGCAAGCCCGCCGAGGCCGCGGTGGAGACGGAGGCCGCTGTCGTGCCCGGCACCGACGGCGACGACGTCAAGCCCTCAGCGCAGAGCAAGCGAGAGCTTAGCCCCGAAGAGGAGGTCGACAGCGAGGCCGGCAGCGAGGCCAGCGACACCAAGCAGAAGAGGCAGACCATCTCGTTGCACGGCGGCCCGCTCGACCTGGGCGCGGACATCGACACCAGCCTCCTCACGCAGGGCCTCAGCGGCCTCCTGCCCCACGGCGAGCTGCTCGGACCCGGCGGCCCGCCCCCGAGCCCCGTGACCTACGTCGAGTACCACGGCAACAACCACCAGCAGCTGCTGCAGCTGGGGCACAATATGCCGCCGCAGATGCTCCAGCAGCTGCAGCAACAGCAACAACAGCAGCAGCAGCCCCAGGGGCCGCCACCGCCCCCGCTCAAACGGGAGAACGAGCCGGCCGAGGGCGAGGTGATGGCCGTTATGGCCATGTGCTCGGGCTGCGCGCCCGACCCCTTCGCCAAGGTCAACGTCATCTCGTGGGCGGGCACGCCCAAGAAGCTCTACTCCGGGGTGCTGTACCTGCCCGCCAAGCCTGTCTGCAGGAAGTTCTAGGGCGCCAGGCGACGCCCCGGGCGAGGGGCGCGCGCTGTGCGGCGGGCCGCCCGAGCTGTGCCATAACCAGGAGACCCCCTCGACGGCCCGGGCCCCGGAGGGGAGGAGAAGAAAGGGGAGGAGAGGGAGGAGCAGTGGCGTTACAGGATGAGATCGCTCTCGATTCTCGTCTCGAATGGCACGGCCTGGAACTGCGCGCGGGGGGAGATGCACGAATCGAGAAAACAATGGCTCGTGAAATTGTTGATGTTATCCGGGGCCTCCGGGGCGAGCCGGGCCGGGGAGACGGCGACGGGGTGAAAGGGGCGGACAGGGAAGCGACAGTGACGGACTGTCAACGAAGACGAGGCACGGCGAGCGCCACCGGATGGCACAGGTGAGTGGGGTGGCGCTCCAGGATCGACAACAATCGCCCCCTAACTGACCGGACCCGGAGCCCGGGAGTCCACGCCGGGTAAGGCAGCGGGACAGCGCGCGGGGCGGGACCACCGAGTCGCCGCTCGTGATGCTTTTCCGTTACGAACGAAGTTAGCCAAAGATAATGATCCGTTCGGAGAAAACAGACGAGCCTCCACGACTGAAAATCTTCGACGGAAAACGACCGTGTTCGAAACACTATCGCGACCATCATCAACATCAGCACCAACCGGAGAGGCGTGACTTCAAATAGCCATAATAAGAAATCATGGACTTCGACTCTACCTGAACTGCTGCAACTATACCGCCGCCGCTACCAACTTCAGCTCAAGACGTGTTGTGAGAGTGCGCGTGTGCGTGTGCCAGTGCACATACAGTGGGAAGACTTGCCAGACAGAACTGCTGCGTCCGTAATGGAGATAATATTTAAATGGTCGGGAGGCGATTCGCGCCAGCCGCCATCCGCTCCCCCGCCGGGAAATGTTTTCCGGAGGAGGAGGTGAAGGCAGGAGCACGGAGAGGAGAATCGCTCATCGCCGGGGTTGGATGGGGTGGGGTAAGGCTGGGCGGGAGACGGGTGTTTTTGTCTGCTTGGCCCTCCCAGCCCCTACCGTACCCGAGGCGTACCGTGGAGTGACGTGGGCTTGTTGCTCACAATCAGAAGGGAAGACCAGCTTCATGTGATGTTAATTTAATTTAAATGCATGTTGTACAGATTAAATGAAAAGCACACAAAAAATGGCCCCCTTGAACTGTTTTTTACGGGGCTTGGAGTTCATAGACTTTTAAGCGAATTTTATTTGTTATTCTTCTTTTGTATATTTTC